CAGTACACTAAATTTCATGTGCTTATTGACTGATTCAAAAAAAATCAGACTGGAAAGTAAATGTTAATTCTACAGTGCCATGCATGTGTTTTCCATTATGGACAAAAATAGATAAGGGTTTTGATTATGGTGTAATACAATCCAGAAGTTCTTTTATCATGAAAAATGTTAACCTCATATAAGAAAACACTAGAGTTCTGTTTACTTCAGAAATATTTGCTGGATTTGTATTGTTGAATATAATTGTGGTGGTTCCATCCATGCCCTGATGATCTTATGTGCCATTAATTCATAAATCTAACCAAAATGTTGTATGCATTTCTTAGTCATCTTTTATGACTTCCTGTAAGTAGAAATTTTATTTGAAGATTTCTCTCTTCTGGGTTGTTGCGCTGTGTAGTCTGGTCGATGTTAACCAACATTTCAGAGGCCATGCTGCCTCCATCATTGGGCGATGACGGAGGCAGTATGACCTCTGAAACGTTGGTTGACATCGACCAGACTACACAGTGCAACAACCCAGAAGACAGAAATCTCCATACTCACCGCTGTGAAAACCTCAAATCTTACACAGAAATTTTATTTATTTCTTTACACACAGTGACATCATGGTAGCAAATGCTGTGGTGAGCCAGTTCTGATTTTTTTCCGGAACTCATAATGTAAGGCGTTATCAGTCCCTGAATTTATTGTTGTGTTCTGACAGAATGGCACTACTTGTATTTTGGCTTATGAGATAGTGGCTTAGTTACATTCACTTTTGGCTACTACATACAGTTGAGTTACACTAGACCACCTAACATACTTGTTTTCTTATGGTAGTGTTTCTTAAAATATGCTTCATAATTTAACATGTCATTAATGGTTCTGCAGATTTCATTATGATCGTGACACTAGTGACAATTTTGTGTGTTACGAAGTGATTCTGTTCAGTAGTTCCTTACCAATGTAAGCCCCAAGAGAAATACTACTAAACTTACAGCATATCATTGTGGCTGCCAACCAGATGAAGTGTTAACCTTAATAAATAATTGGGTAGAATTGAGATTCAATCAGGGTAGATTGCAGATGGAAAGAATTGTTGCTCTTGTGTACACATATTTTCCAATTGAATTTATGTGATTTCTCATTCCTCATTTACCTTGATACCTCTTTACTGCAGATACTAATTTAGTAGTACCAGAAGATGGCTATCTTCTGGATTGTTACGCCATATAGTCTGGTAGAAGTTTACTGACGTTTCAGAGGTCCTTGATGCCTCCATAATCAGGGTGATGAAACGGCCGTCTTCAGACTCTCACGAAAACCTGAAATCCTACTTAGTAATACCATCTTGCATATAGTCGAAACTTTTTTCGTGTTTTGTTGACTATTCTCTATATTGATAAATAATTGAGTAGTTGTGAGTCTAATGAGATCAAAGGAACTACTATTGATAAAAACAGAAAGTTTATTTCCAGCTTCATGTAAATTAGGTTTTATATTAGACTGGACTAACATAAAAATATCTGACAACTTGTAGTTCAGACACTCAGTATCAAATTTCATCAGAATCCATTGAAAGTTTTTACAGGGAAAATGTGTGGACAGGTGGATATAACTTTCCCTATATGCAGCTTATACAAAGAGAACATGCAAATTGAATATTGAAAAGTGGCTAGAACAAGAGTACCAGAAGAACAGAAGAGGAATTTTAGCATTGAAGAGGGGTTGGAAGAATCTGTGGTGTTATAAGGACTGATGAATTGAGAAGATTGGAGGGATAATGTGGTGATGATGATGATGCATTTGAAATAGTGAGTAGTGGTAAATAGTGCAAGAAGATGATCATAGCTAGAGTGCTTTTAAAGTGATATTGAAGTAAGAAATGCAGAACAAGAAGAGATGTCTAAAGTCATGCTGTCCATGTCTCATAATTGGTTAGTCAAAGCCAAGTACCAATTAGAAGCAGGAAACCATAGAGGATCTGCAAATTGTGTAGTATAAGATGTCTTTTCTGTGTGGAGGGTTCAAGAAATGTGCACAATAACAAGGTAAAAACTTTGAATTCCAATGATTGTGGTATTGTGAATCAGCTTTGATTTGTGCTGTGTAGCAAGAATGTGTGTTCTCATTGTGAATTAGGTGCGCCAGCACACAGTTTTATTATTCCAAACTAAGAAGATGAGCCGCAAGTATGTGATTTATATATATGAAAGTACTCGCAGGAAAGTTAGAAAGGTTTTTGTTGGGTGGCTGTTATGGTTGAAGCAGGGGGTAAATATAAAGGAACATTTTATTTTGAAGTATTACATTAAAACAAGATCACTGTGTGGGCTTGATTTACGTTAGTGCTGTCTTGGAGTAATAATCTCTTGAAATTCATTATGACAGTTATGTTTTATAGTAATCTGGTAAATTCATTCCTAAGATATATATTCATGATTTTGATTGGCTGTTCAAAATTCAAAGACTCACATTTTTAGTCCTGAGCATAAAATTGTATTAGAACTTTTTTTATTGGTTATGGGGAGGTGATTGCATTTGGGAGTGCAATATTTCATGTGTTTGGGCCAGGGAACCAGTTAGCAACTGCAGTGATGGATCATTTTTGGAGTCATAGAACTTGTTAGGTAACTTTTTACTGTATATTGGAAGTTTGCTAAAAGTCATGCCACACTTGTCTTTTTCAAGATTCATCCTTTACTTTTTGTTATTTGGCATGTGCATGTGTAGAACTCAGTTTTATTTGTTGAACTCTGATAATTTTGCTATGGATAGTTCCAAATTAATTTATTTCTAACCTAATTATGACACTATTATGATGGAGGTTTGTCCACAAAGGGAGGATGGAGACAAAATTATGTCCAAAAATCTGATACCTAAATACCCCAAACACTTCGGAAGTCTGATCATGGATCCAGCAACTGCAGTTAATATACTAGCTGTTACGTTAACCATTACGATATGAGAATAGAGGATTATAAAGCCCCGTGCTTTGGGGGCTTGTGTTTTACCTACAATACTAGACAGTGACTTTTGATGCTATGGTGGGGATTACTATGCTATTGATTGTTCCACTATCTATAGCTATTCCATTTGCGCTTTTGTCCTTGCCACTCAGATCCTATACTTTCATGCCATTGTTGGCAAAGTTGTTTCTGTTCCACTTTATGTGTTTACAGACATGTTGGTGGAGATTCATATAAACATCATATGATATCAAGCTAGTTTTTTGACTTTGGATGCTTATCTGTTTTTTATTTATATGTATATTCTTTATTTTATTTGGAGAATAGTTCTAGCCTCAGCTAAGGAAGGAAGGCTGTTTTGTTATGTCACAATTATGATAAGTCTGTTCAACTAGCAGAGAGTTTGAAAACATTGCATGAATACCATGGGCTGTATTTGTAATAAAAATAATGAGAAGGCATTCAGTTTAAAAGAGTGCATGCACCTGGTGTCCCATTATTTGTGTAAAAAGGTGGGATGCCATAGGATTCAACAGGAATTGTAAAAAAATTGCATGCTTCTGATATTAATAAAAACCAGAATGTCCTTTGTAGTTAACAGTAGGCGTGATACTGATATATGTTCTGGTAGATTTTCTGTATTCCTTTTGGCTACTGGTTATGAAAGAATATTTGGTTTGTTTTTTAAAAATTAAGTAACAAGCAAAAGTGCTGAAAAACTAATGTCTTGTATGAATTGTACAATAAATTAATATACAGCGATGCCCAGTATGCTGTGAGAATTTGACAAAATTTGGGTTAATTTTACACTTTGTAAGTATGTTAATCAGTGGAATGAAGTCATTCAAATTATACTATTTTACTTGTGTAAAAGTAACCTTTTCGTGTGTGTCGGTATCTGTTCAGAGATCTTTATCATCTGTAAGAAGTTACTTCAGTGTGAAGTGTGAGCTTAATATTTTCATTGAAGGATAAGTAGTCATTGGACATTCCCATATTTCTTATTTAACAGACAGCAGCATGCATGTTAAAAAGTATAATTAGAAAGGAACATCACCAGTGTGTTCGCTACCACTTGTCGTTTTGAGGGTGGAAGGTAAAACTTATTGACATCTCTGCGTTCTCAGTCTGTTGTATGCTAGAATAATTCATGAGAAGAATCAAAATATGAAAGTTACATGTGCTACAAACAAAAGAAAAGTTTGAGCATCAGTTTATTAATGTATATGAATTAGGCAGAATAGAAAACCAGCCTGTGGGCAACTGTTGTGCTTGATTACGGTCGTCATAACGTGACCATCTTCATTGGTAGAAAATTTTAATAAAAATAAAAATTTATTGAAATGAATGGGAAATGTATAAGCATTGAGTGAATGTTACCAGATGTGTGAGCAGTATATAGAAGTGTAATTGTACTTCATCCTACTTGACTTTGTTTCCAAACAGAATTTGATAATTTCTGGTGCCAATGTTGAGGTTTGGCCATTGGTATTTGATGTATCGTGAAATATCATATGAATGCAAGTTTTAAAATTACATTTGAATTGTTGAAATCGGTTGTGTAGTTCATTTCTGAGAATTTCAGAGGGAGGGGTTGAGTTCCATGGTGAGTGAAGTTGCCACATTTTATCTCTGCTCAAGAAAATAGTTTTTTGTCATTTAAAAAAACATTGTAATTATTCAAAACTGTTGTATTGTTTCAGTAATTTGGTATTTTCAAAATTGTTTTCTAATTGAATTGAAATTTTTGTTAGATGCTCATTCTTAGATCATATTTTTGGGTTGTTTTTCACTTATTTAAGTTGGGTTAGGCAAGATTTTTTATTAGGAGTTCCAAGTATTAAATGTTCTTGTAATCAGAAGTATTACATAGATCTAGCATTTGTAGGTTCTTATATGTCTGTTGTGTTCATTGCTTCCGAAATACACTTACCATGGCTGGTTAAGCATTATTTGTGTCATTTTTTGTGTGTTTGAGTTTGTTTGAGGTAACATATGAAAATTAAATTCTTTTCATGTTGATAATTGCATGTGTTTTTGTTGATTCAGACCAGTTTACCAATATGGACATGTTTGACTTGGAGAATGATCTTCCGGATGAACTGATGACATCGGGGTCGTGGGGGAGTGCCGTGGAACCGACAGCGAGTAGCAAGCCACCTGCAACGGGACCGGGACCTGGGCCGGGTCCAGGGCAGCCACCGCAAAGTCAGCAACAACAACAGCCTGGTGCGGGAGGACCGGGTCTTCAAAATGGAGCCGTGGACCAACAGCAGTCGCAGCAACCTGATCAACAGCGACAGCAGCAGCAACAGCATGTAACGCAGCAGCAGCTATCACACCATCTCATGCAGCAGCAGGTAATGTGCATTTAGCTTCTGTCCTGAATGCTTTTGACGATAGGATGTTATTATAAAGATGATTATAATATTTTGGACATTGTCCATCATTGTAAACTGTATTCAGGTATATTTTCCAAACTGGCCCTTGAATGTTGGACAGCAGGGGAGGAGGTTTCTGTTCTATTTGTAACAAACCAAATGTGTGTCATATTGGAGAATTCAATTTGAGTAATGCTAGGCGCTGTATGTAGGATTATACAAGACACAGTGGTAGACTTGGCAGCAATGTTCGTCTGAGCTGTATCGGCCATTATAATGTTTTTAACTAGAATTGGCAGCTGGGACATGTGCCTATGACATACTGTGTTTTAGCAGGGAAACAGAACATACAGTAGCACCATATGCAGCATTGTAGAACATACTGTTTTGTTAAATGTATTTGCATACAAAAAATCAATTCTGAATTATATGTGAATGTTGTAATTTAATTCACAATCTTGGCTATACAAATCCATTCCTTGTGAACTTGCAACATGTTCTGGCTGCTGATGCCTCTGTCACATGGTTTAGATCCCACATTATACTCTGGGCCCTCTCTTTTTGTCATAATTGTCTTCATTCTCAGCCTCTTATTGGATGGAAAATTGCTATAACATACATTATTACATATACTTAAAGATATGGATGTGTGCGACTTCTGAATCCTCTTAAAAGTTGAGATAATTAATTGATAAAATGGTGAATTTTGGAAAATGCCAACTTGAACTGATGCCTCTTTGAAGGTAAGACAGTCAATGTAAGAATGATTCTGGAAGCGATGGTAGGCTGTTTTAGAAAGCCCAAATAAAGCACATGTAGTGTGGTATCGTGTGTTATAATTAATGGTTTAGCTTACCTTTTATTTTTTCAGGAATAATTAATTTGTGTATGCTTTGTTTGCAGGGAAATAAGAATCTGGTTACAAATTCTTTGGTATTGGCAGCTGGAGGGTTAGGAAACAAAAGTCCAAGTTTGCAGTCGCCACCAAATGTTTCTGTGAGCAAAAGTGGGGTTGTTGTGGGTGATTCACTGGTTGGGAACCTTCTTCCAAGTAGTATTGCAAGCTCTTTAGCCAATAATCCAGCTGTTGCCAGTGGTACCATGACCATGTCATCAATTCCCAACAGTGTCCAGGGAGTTGGATTGCAGTCATCTATGGTAAGACTTTTAGTAGTAGTATTATTTATTTCACTCACTTTGAGAGTTGACGTTAAAAATGGGATATGTATTTGCCTCTGAACACCATCACAAGGCAGTATCATTTCCACATAATAGCAGTGTTATCAAAATGTGGGTAATTGCTCTCTGTGTTACTGAACTGTATTCAGAGTATTAGTCATTGTTTTATCTCCTGATATCTTGTTCTTAATAATTCATTTTCATTTGTTGTGTTCTTTGTACTGTGTGTCTGTCTGAATTAGTAATTATCCTTTTGTTCTAATTACTATATCTATACTACAAATTTGCACTCCCTTATTTGCGCCGATTCAGAATAACACCGCTTTTGAAACCAGCAAGTCTAAAAGTGGAAAGAAAAAAATTACTATTGTTTATAACATTTAACAATGTTTCTCGTACTGATTCATATACTAAATCGTAATTCTTATATTGCTGATTTTGAATACAGATTATAAATAGTCACCTCTGCACTCATTGATAAGTAGTTGCGAGATAATCTCCTAAAAATCCGCCAACATTGCACAACAGTCACGAGAGCATTGGTCACTCTTCACGTTGAGTCATTTGCGTTCAGCCTGATAAGTCTGTAAGGAAAAATGCGTTCAGTTTGCTTCTTGTTGACACATTGAATGTGCTGAAAACTGTGTGCTAAACGTGTTTGTGTTGTTTGACCGCTATTCTGCAGTACCAACTGTTTTATATTTATAAATTGTAGAAGAGCCACCATGTCTGGTAAGAGAAGTGAATGTATTTCTAAAGAGTTGCGTAGGTCTATTGATAAGATAAGATAAGATTGATAAGATGGACATAATTCGTAAAATAGATGGTGGTGATACCCGTCGTAATGTGTGCAGAAGTATGAAGTTGCCTCCTTCCACTGTGACTACCATAATGAAAAATTAATATAAAATAAAACAGTCAATGCAACAGGCTACGAGAGTAAGTGCAACGCAAGTGAGTAATAGCAGAAGTAAACTTTTAGAAAAAATAGAAAAATTACTGTTGCTGTGGGTGGATGATATGTATTGAAAAAACATTCCCTTGACTGAAATTGCTATCACGGATAAGGCAAAGTCAATTTTTTAGGAACTTAAGTCGTCAATGTTTGGGTGCCGGAAATGCATGTCATTGACTTCACATTATAAAAATAGTTTCAATTTACGCTTGTTCATCCAGGAACGCATCCCCGGTGTAAATCGAGGTTTACTTGTATTTTCTCAAGTAACTCTTTATTGGATTAAATTGACAGGAAATTCGTTTTTGTTAACAAATTACCTGTAAGATTTGAGGTTTTCACAGCGGTGAGTCTGAAGATATCTGTCTTCTGGGTTGTTGCGCCTGTGTAGTCTGTTCGATGTTAACCAATGTTTCAGAGGTCATACTGCCTCCGTCATCAGGGTGATGAATACACAGCGCAACAACCCAGAAGACCAAAATCTTCAACAAATTACCTGTTGATGAGCAACCTTCATGTGTAGTGTGTTAAATGAATTGGTGTACATGAATCCTAACATATACTCTGAGAGTTAATCTGAAACACAGTTTGTTTTTGCTTACAGGTTAGCACAGTGAGTATGGCTAGTATTAGTAATTCAACAGTGGCCATGAGCAGCCTAGCAAGCAATGGAGGGATGGTCATGACGAGTAGCCCCATGAATCAAATTGGAGGTGGTGGGGGTATGGTAGGAGGAGGTAGCCTAGTTAACAAGCAACCCCTCACATCAGTTCCAAATTTATTGGGGGGAAATGCTCCGGGTGGAGGTGGTGGCATGCATCATTCAGTGCAGCATAGTGTGGCACAACAAGGTATGCCAAATGGACCCTTGGCAACTCGTGCAGCGGTTGTCGCAGCTGTGGCACTTCAGCAACAGCAGCAGCAGCAGCAAGGACATCTGGTTGCCCGGGGCCAGTTACCGCATCAAGTTCATACTGTGGGCATCAATGTGGGACAGCGCATGCAGGTGCGTAAACATTATGCTGTTAACCTGGCAGAGATGGGTAAATAATGGTGTGTTGTATGAATGTTAACATTTGCAGTTAAATTACTTTTGAAATGTAGTGAAACTAAATTATGGTTGATAAGTTCCAGGAACTTCATTGACTCATTGGTTTATGACATCATAATGACATGCTGCATGTGGAAGTTCTATCTCTAAAGAATTTTTGTTTTCATAGTTTACATTTTCAGATGTGAAAACTGGATGATATGTTAGTACATAATTTGTACTTACAGTGAGTGGAATTACCAATTAACATTTCTCATTTTTAGATTTTGCTTCATTTAAGCATACAGTAAATGTTGTCAAGAGTTATCATGAAATTTTCTTCACTTAAAGAGGAAAAAGTGTAAACCTTGTGTACTATGCTAATGTGACTGAAGTGATTCATGTGTAGTGATATTTTCTGGAACAGTTAGTTTAATTTTGGTAGCAGTTAATTGCTGTATTTATACTTCTCTTGCAACTCTCTGTGCTTCACAAATTGAGAACCACCTATATGATTAGTTTAATATTTCAAACTTGTACAATATGAGTGGTCTTTGTTGTGGCCAGATAATGCATGTAATTCCTGATCTGATCTGATCTGTCTGCAAACATAATATCCCACCCTACAATTTTGTTTGTTAACTGTCTTAATGAAAGTAAATCATCCCTTCAGGCACCTAACATGACATCTGTAAGCCAAATGGGTCAAACCATGAGTGCTGGCAGTCCATATAGCTGCGTGCCTCCTGGTGGAGGCTCAGGTGGACCGCAGGGGGTTAATGTTGGGGCAGCAGTGGTTGCTCCACAGCAAAGAGGAGTTGGAAGTATGGCTTCTTTACAGCAAACGAGGTTTGGTGCTGCTGCAGGAACTTTAGGTAAGTATGAATGTTAATAATTTTACAGTTAAACTAAATGGAACTTACTTGTGATTAATATAATAGCTGAAAATTTCTCAGATGTGAATCTATATAGGTATGTGTTAGTTGAGGAGAAATAATTACAGCAATCAAGTTGTGAACTCATAGAAGATGTAATCCTGGAATTGTTTAGGGGATAAGTAGTGATTATGGTTTTGAGTTGTCGATTTGTTGATACGGATCTTACACATTTTCGTTCCACGTTTTCCTTTCACTTTTTTGTTGAATGACCCTTCCGTCAAAAGTATAGAGGTTTGTTAAATCTCAAGTAACATACATATGAAGTTACATGAAAATTGAATAATTGGTTATAAAGTTGCTAGATAGATTCGTTACACTGAATTTGCACTGTGATCTCATTTCTTATTTCAACTTAAGGAGAATAGGTTAAA